AGGAAACCATCAACAAAATGAAAAGGCAACCTATGGAATGGGAGAAAATATTTGCAAACCATGTATAAAATAATATCCAAAATATACGAGGAACTCACAAAACTGAATAGCAAAAAATAAATAAATAATAAAAATAACAAGTTAAAAGTGGGCAAATAACCTGAATAGATGTTTTTTCAAAGAAGATGTACAACAGCCAACAGGTATAAGAAAAGGTATTCAACATCACTAATCGTCAGGGAAATGCGAATCAAAACCACAATGAGGTATCACCTCACATCTGTTAGGATTGCTGTTATCCAGAAGACAAGAGCTAACAGGTGTTGGTGAGGGTGTGGAGAAAAGTGAAGCTTTGGACAGTGTTAGGGGCAGTGTAAATTGGTACGGACGTTAAGGTTCCCCTCAAAATTAAGAATAGTACAACCATCTGATCCAGCAATGCCACTTCTGGGTATACATCCAAAGGAAGTGAAACCAGGACTGCAGAGACATTTGCGCTCCCATGTTCGTTGCAGCGTTATTCACAATAGTCAAGATCTGGAAACAACCTAAGTGTCTATCAATGGACAAATGGGTAAAGGAAATGTGGTATAGATGTATGATGGAATAGTCAGCCATTGAATAAGGAAATCCTGTCATTTGGGACAGCAACATGGATGAACCTGGAGGACGTGTATGCTGAGTGACATAAGCCAGACACAGAAAGTCAAAGACTGCATGATCTCACTCATATGTGGAATCTAAAAAAGCCAAACTCACAGAAGCAGAGAGTAGAGTGGTGGTTGCCAAGGGCTGGGGGTGGGGGAAATGGGGAGATGTTGGTCAAAGGGTACGAACTTCTGGTTATAAGATCAATAAATTCTAGGGATCTAATGTACAGCATGGTGACTATAGTTAATGATGCTGGATTGTATACTTGAAGTTTGCTAAGAGGTTAGATCTTCAGTGTTCTTGCCACAGGCACAAAAAATAGTAACTACAGGAGGTAATGGATGTGTTAATTAGCTCGACTGTGGTAATCATTTCACAATATATAAGTATATCAAATAATTACGTTGTACGTCTTCAATATATACAATTATACCCCAATAAAGCTAGATGAATACATAAGTAAGCAAATAAATTAAATATTTATGAGAGAAAGAGAGAAGGGAAAAGCAAACTACATGGTCCAGCAAAAGTTAATCTATTTTGCACATTTGGGAAGTAAATTAATTAGCAGAGAGGTAAGGTCTGGTCATTCTGTCCCTGAGTAGGTCTCCTAGAGGTATCAAAGATGACAATTTCAATGGTTTATGGATCTGAGAAAATCTTGAGAATTGTGTGGTAGAGTGTCAGTCACAGGTCACCTCTGTGTGCTGTCTGTCCTTGTCCTCCCATCCGGTACCTTCTTGCTTCACCTAGGTGTGCACCATTTCCCTCATTAGAAGTTTTCAACAACTCCCCTCAAAACAAGCTCCTAGGGGCCAGGCCGGTGGCACAGCAGTTAAGTGCACACGTTCTGCTTTGGCCCGGGGTTCACCAGTTCAGATCCTGGGTGCGGACATGGCACCGCTTGGCAAGCTATGCTGTGGCAGGCGTCCCACATATAAAGTAGAGGAAGATGGGCATGGGTGTTAGCTCGGGGCCAGTCTTCGTCAGCAAGAAGAGGAGGATTGGCAGCAGATGTTAGCTCAGCGCTAATCTTCCTCAAAAAAAAATTTTTTTCCATAAAAATACGAGATCCTAAAGGACCACGTTTGACCATGAGGCCTTGGTCTTTTTTGGACACAATGTGATTAGTTGGATGCAGTTCAGAATAACGGTGCTCCGGCAGTATTTAATCACCTGAATATCAAACAGTGGAGAAGGGCAGAGTGGCCTGAGGACAGCCACAAGTACTGTAACAAATAGTGGAAGACAGCCCAGGCCTAACTAGGAGAATAGGTGTCAAGGATCAGCTTGGTCAACCTTAATTTATCAAGTGGCTCTTAAGAATTGATGGACTGTTTTATCGCTTATTTGAGTCAGAGTCACAGATAAATTACAGGCACACGGTTTTACAATAAGGTTTAGCTAGGGCGGAAATTCTTGTACAAACCAGAGCAGTCCAGAGTGTTGGGTGTCTTCTGAGAAGTTAACACATCAGGCTCCTAATAAGATATCAGTTACTGGGAATTTGGTTTGAATACATGGGATGGCCCAATAACACATGTAAAAATTGGAAATTACTAACTTTTCAAACAGTCGCTTAAAGTTAATATTGTACCAATTCACATATAATTTACAGAATTTGCAACGCTATGGGTCCATTTACCTCCTCCTGTACTTTATACTATAGTTGTCATATGTATTATATCTCCATATGTTATAGACCCCACAATATGGTTTTTGCTTTAAACACTTATGTATTTTAAAGAAGTTAAGAGGAAAACAACAAATATTTTATATTTACCTACATATTTCCCATTTCCAGTGCTCCTCATTCCTTTCTGAAAATCTGTGATTTCATCTGGGATCATTTACCTTAAGCCTGAAACCTTCCTTTAGCTTCTCTCATAGTCCAGGCCTACTAGCAATAAATTCTCTTATTTTTCATTTAACTGAAATTTTCATATTTCAAATTTATATCTTCATTGGATATAGAGTTATAGGTTGACAGGTATCATCATCATCATCATCATTTCAGCACTCTCAAGATGTTGCATTGTCTTCTGGCCTCTGTTACTCCTGATGAGAAGTCAGCAAACTGTATGAGCTTGAACCAAAAGGGACAGTTCTTTAGATTCCCGACTTTCCAAACACAAGAAACAGGTTGGCAGAGAAAGTTATTCAGCTACAGACATGGACCATTTCTTATGGAAGAGGACAGATGATTCAGAAGCCAGAGCCAAAAGCCCAGAGGGTGGAGCTAAGAGTCATGAAGAATCACTCCCAGGGACTCTAGACAACACACCCTCCCTGCTCCAAGAGCAGGAGGAATTAGCACCATGTGCCCAGCTGGATTTCAGAAATGCTACAGACCAGTTACTGCTGTGTGTGGGGTTACCTGTTGTGGTGATTTTTTTTTTATTCTTCTCCCCAAAGCCCCCCAGTACATGGTTGTATATTGTAGTTGTGCGTGCCTCTGGCTGTGCTATGTGGGATGCCACCTCAGCATGGCCTGACGAGCAGTGCCATGTCTGCACCCAGGATCCGAACCAGCAAAACCCTGGACCGCCAAAGCAGAGCACACGAACTTAACCACACAGCCACCGGGCCGGCCCCTGTTGTGGTAATTTTAGCCCTTCCTCACTGTGGTATGTTGGGTGGGCAGGGTGAACTCTTAGGTTCACAATTCTTCAGATTGAGAGGAACCACACCTAAGAAGCCTCATCTGCACCTGAATCTGATTGCCTTTGTTGTTGTTCATTTCTTTTGTACCTGCTCACGCTTTCCAATTTTCTCCACAAGGTCAATCCCATTAGAGAATATATCAGTCCCTTTTTTTGTCTTCTTCTCTGCTGCATCCCGCCTTGAGATGTCCATTTTCCTTCTCTCTGAGATGTGCCTTTAGCTATCATCCTTGGAATTCCATTTGCCTTTCTCCTGGCTTGATTCCCTATGCCCAGTGTCTCACGTTTTCTTCTTTCTTGGTTTACATCTTGTTTTGGTGGAGCACATCCTTCATAGTTTCATCTGATTGAAAAGATAACGCAGTGACAGAGGGCATGATGATGACAATGTCAGCAGTCCTGTCTCTTGTGTCACAATGTACCAATGAGGACTGCTTGCCCTCTCTGCTTGGGGCACAGCTGTCATTCTGGAATCCCCCTTTGGTAGCATCCTGGAGATTCCATTCACTACTCTCCTTTGTTGGATCTCTGTTTTCTTCAGCCCACATTTCCTCCCTTCTTGGTTTACTCCTTCTTTAGTTGGAGAACACCTTTCCTCCAGTGGCTTCCCAGGAAGGGTGCGTAGGGGGTGAATTTTTTGAGACCTCCCGTGTCTGAAAGCGTCTTTATTTTATTCTCACACTTGACTGAGAGTGTGGTGGTTAGCACTTCTCAGTGACCAGCATCTTTCCCTCTTCCTCCTTTCTGCTAACAAACTGTCCTGGGACAACACACTGGCCATGTGACCAGCCTGGATCAATCATAGAGCCAGTTAATGTCTTTCCCTGGGATTGTTCATATTGAATGGGGTAGAGGAGGAGCTCCCGTCCTCTTAGCCGGCTAAGAGACTCCAGCTGGCTGCCATTTTCCCAGCTGGGGGAGTCACTTGGGGACGGAGAATGCAGTCACCATCAGAGAAAGGCAGAGCCTCCTGGGGGTAAGAAGTGAGCACTGCCCTGGGTCTTGCAGCTCTTCCTTCAACTGGAGCATCACAGGAAAGTCCCACCAACCAGGACCAAGGATCCCACGAACAGGCGTGTGTTCCATCAGTTTAAGCTGCTTCCTGTCACCTGCTTTTGAAAGAAATCTACATGACTGCAGAACTGCCCCGAGCCAGTGCCTGCTGAACACTGCCAACTTTTCTTTCGGATGTTGCTGCTGCTGTTTTGAAATTTAAAATTTTTTTTGTAGTTATTATACTTTCTACAAATCTTTATATCTGTCCTTTTTTATTTCCCCTTATAACATGAGCATTTTCCTTATTTACCCAATCTCCATTTAAATGTCATTTTTATGAATTCTATTCAGAGGATGTTTTATTTACCATCTCCCAATTAGTTTTTGTTTGTTTACTTGTTTGGGGGTTTTTGCAAATAGAAAACACCTTAATGCTTTCTGTGTAGTTAGGGTTTTTCTCTTAGAACAGACTTTCAGCGTTGAAGTCATTGAGTCAAAGGGAATAATAATAATTTTTTTAAATTTTTTTTATTTTTCCTTTTTCTCCCAAAAGCCCCCCAGTACATAGTTGTATATTTTTAGTTGTGGGTCCTTCTAGTTGTGGCATGTGGGTCGCCGCCTCAGCATGGCTTGATGATCAGTGCCATGTCTGTGCCCAGGATCTGAACCAACGAAACCCTGGGCCTCTGGAGCACACGAACTTAACCACTCGGCCACAGGGCCAGTCACTGGGAATAATTATTTTAAAAAGCTGAAGCTGAAGACTGTCAAAGTGATAGACAAAAGGGCTGTGCCCTCACTGACCCATTTCCCCCAGCCCTGACTAACAGCATTCCTCCAACGTGCAAACTCCATGCAGGAGAAGGGCATCTCCTTGCGGTGGCTTTGATTTGCATTGATTTAATTACCTAGGCTGAACATTTCTTGGTTAAGTCTATTAGCCAAGTTGGCTTCCTTTCTGGCAACTGGTCTGTTCGTGTCTCCATTCCTTTCATCTTTAGGGTTTCAGTGTTTTTCTGATCAATTTCTTGAGCACTGTAGACAATAATGGTGTTGAGACTTTGCGACATTTCCTGCAAATATTTTTCCTATTGTTTGCCTTTGTATTTTGTAACCAATGTTGCTTGTGTTCTTTAGCTAATGGACCACCTCTCTTTTTTTGCGATGTCTACTCTGACTTCTAACATTAGAAAGCACTCCCCCTTCCAGAGGTGATAAATGTCCACTTCTATTTTTTTTTAGGAGCGATTGATAAAACGTATTAAAGTCTTTGACTCTGTCTGCATTCCAGTCTTCCTCTTCCGGTTGGCAGATGGTGTGAGGAAGGGACCTGGCTTCCTGCTTGCACAGCACAGTCCAACTCCGGCTCAGCCGGGGGGCCACAGGCTCCAGGCCCGAGAGCATCAGGGTGAAGCCTGGGCTGCTGTTTCTCGGGTCACCCAAGTGAGCCATGTCCCTGGGTCCTCCGGAGCCCCCAACTTTCTCAGGCCCACTCATTTTCTGATGCATCTTGACTTCTGTTGCTTGCTAGATGTTAAGGCGGAACTGCCCTTGGAAGAATTGGCTTTAAAAAAAAAAAAAAAAAAAAGGCAGAGAAAAGTGAGAAAGACACATGAGAGGAAGCAGTGGGCCCCAAAGAGTCTGAAAGGCCTCTGGGATCCGGAAATTGATCATCAGGAGGCTGGAGAAGCTGATCACACAGACGTTTTGAAACACTTTCCACAGTTTATGATTAGACATTTTTTCCCTTAAATTACTTCTGGCCATCTCCTCTCACACTGTAGGTTGAGGTCTGTTTTCTTCACCTCCATATTCCCCGTAACTGGAATAGTGTTGGGCACCAAGCGTGCTCAAAAATACTTGTAGACCGAATCAATGAATCAAGGAATGAGTCTGGAATCCCGCTTCCCATACTCTGCCCTCCCTCCCGTCAGCCCCCCCGCCTCCCGCCAGGTAGCCCAGCACGCCCTACCCGGAATCTCCAACGCGGGTGGGGGTGCGGAGGAGGGACAGGGAAGGCAGAGGAGGCGGGAGAAGGCGGGCCAGCACCTGGTGGCAGTCTCGAATTGAGGGTGACGCCCCTCCCCCTGGCAGGGCTGCTGGAGAAGCGAAGTGAGAACCTGGGGTGGGGGGCAGAAGGTCGAGAGGTAGTCCTGGGGCGGGTTTGGGGGACGATGGGAAGAAGGGAGAGCGAGGCGGGGAGAGACCCTCGCCCCGCCCGGCGCTGCTGCCGGCGGCCACTAGAGGGCAGGGCAGCGCTGACCCGGAGGGCCCGCCAAGGCCGGGGGCGGAGCGGGGGGCTGCCCCACACCCGGCCCCGGCCCAGCGCCCCCGGCCCCCACCGCCTCCCAGGGCGCACCGCAGCACACCCAGTCCACGCGCGCACCCACTGCGCAGGCGGGGAAATTGAGGCAGGGCTCTGCCTGCCATCCAGCGCCCTCCACCCCCAGCCTGGTGGGGAGCCCCCAGGGGGCCCCCCACTGCGACCCCGCAGCCCTGGCAGGGCGTGGCCGCCCGAACCCCAATTCCGGCTCTGACGTCAGCCCCGTGTTCCAAATAACTTCCTCCCGGAGCTGCTTTCGCCGGGGCCGCACATCCCGGAGGCCGGCCGGTCGCGCCCAGGTCAGGGACGTCCCGGGACTGTCATACCGGCCCGGCCTTCCCAGAAGCAGCTTCCGCCCCGCCCGCCCTGGGCCGCGGGTTCCGGGAAGCCCCCCGCCAGCGGCCCGGGGAAGGGGGTGCAGCCGTGGGGAGGGGACCGGGGTTGGGGCTATCCTGGGGCGGGTTCTGGGACCTACGCGCTTGCGTGGGGGCTGCTGGGGCTTGGTGTTCTGGGGGGAGGGCCCGTGAGGGGCGCTGGGGTCAGCTGGGGACACCCCCATCAACGTCCCGACTCTGCCCCCTGCTCTTTGTTCCATAAGCACCGGTGGCCTGGACCACCCCATCAGTGTAAGCCCCACCCTGGACTCTTGTGTTCACTGCGGCCGGGTCACAGTAGGTGCCCAATAAATACGAATGAATGAAATGAATGAATGAAACAAGGAGGGTCTCAAGGGCCGCTGCAGTCAGCTTATGTGAGGCCTGTGGTGAGTTGGGGGGTGTCTGTGGTCAGTCATGGTGGAGGCAGAACCCCAGGACGCAAGCACCCTAATGAGGCAGGCGCACCCTGGCACCAAGACCCTAAGGAGTTTGAGGGAGGGGTCTGGCTCCTCCAGGTTCGGGGGTTCAAGGCCAGGTCATAGAGCAGTCGGGGTTCTGGGGCGCCTCCTTCCTGTGAGAGGAGCTGGGCGGGCCCGGCTGACAGGTCGGGCGGCATAGCCGAGGCGACACTCACCTCCAGCATAAAACCCCACTTCATGGAGCCCCGCACCTCACACCACGGCTCTTGGAGCTCCCGCCACCACTGTCCCCTGCCCAGTCCCCAGCCAGGCTGAGACCATGAGGCGGCCGCTGGCCGTGGCCCTGCTCCTGCTGCTGCTGTGGATTGGTGAGTCCTGGACATTGCAGGAAGCCGGTCCCCTGCCTCCTGGGAGGGGCCCCCTCTGCCCTGGCTGGAGCTCTAGCCAAGCCCCCCGTTCCTGGTCAGGCCCGGCTGCAGCACAGGCCTCCCCTCTTCACCAGAGTGGTGGGGCCTCCTGGGAGGATGGGAAGGTTCCAGATGTCCCACCTGGGGGAGTGAAGTGAGGAAGGCAGGATAGGGGTGTGGGCGCAGGCCCGAAAGGACCCCTGAGGCACTGACCCAGGCAGAGGCTCCGTCTGCCTCCCACCCTGCCTCGGACACCATGGGCCAAACTCTGGGCTATGTGCTTCTGTTTTCTCTCCTCTCGGCCTCTGCATGCATGCAGGATCTGAACTCAGAGCCATTGGGCTCCAAATCCCTGGACCACCATGAGCTGGGCCTAAGGAGGGGTAGCCGAGCTGCCGCCTGAGCCCGGGAGCCCTGGGAGGCTGGTGAGGGTTCGGCGGGGGCCAGGGGAGCCAGGCTCCTGCTGCCACCACAGAGGGAGGGTACAGGGAGGAGCAGGCCCTGCATCCCTGTGCCCTCTCCCAATCCCGGGTCAGATTCAGCAGGTGCCAACCAGGAGGCCCCACCTGCCAGGCCCCTTCCCATGGGGCAGGCTGCTCTCTGCCAGGGAACCCTCCCGCATTCCTGGGCCAGCCAGGCCAGCTCAGCAGCCACCTCACTTCCCTGTCCTCAGGTCACCTCCCAGGGCCGGGCCAGGTCACCCAGGCTTTGACTCGGTCGGGGCTCCAGGCTTGCTACGAGGGGAGGAGGGCGCCAGAGTGGCACCTCAGTGGGGAGGCCCCAGCCTCCCAGGGCCTCCCCCTCTTGGCCTCCTGGCACAAGGATAATAGTGTTCTTTGAGGAAGCCCATCTCTGCCAGGGGGTGTAACACCATGATTGCTCCCGCTGGGTTGAGTAATCAAGGCCATTGCCAAAGTGGGAACAGCAGCCTGCCTTTGGCTCACAAACAGCTGTGACCAGGGGCCTGGGCTCCTTCAGCACCATCCTCACCCTCACCTCTGGCCATTCCCTCCTAGAACCTTAGGCCTTTCCCCGCCCCAACCTGCTACAGGAGCATGGAGACCCTGGGCCCAGATGAGGGGCCTGACACCCAGCCCCTGACAGGACGCCCACCCTGCAGAGCCCCGGTTTCCCCATTGACCCATCCTGGTCAGCCCTCTCCCCACAGCCACTCTATACATCCCTCTATACATGCCCTGGGCTCAGGGCTCCTGGATGTGGGCTCTGCCTTCACGGAGCTCCTGGGCCCACAGGTGAGATGAGCAACAATTCTGCCTCTAGAGTGAGGTGGGCAGAGCTCTGTGAGGCTCGGCAGGAGGACCAAGAGCTCAGGAGAGAAAGCCAGGCTTCCTAGATGGACAGTGCACGCCAGGAGGGCTGCCTGGAGGAGGCAGCATTTTGGTTAGGCCTTGATCTGGATTAGGACCTGTAGGATTTGGACTTGTAGAGACCGAGAAGAAAGAGCCTCAAGGCAGAGGGGTGTTGTGAGTGAACACTCCAAGGCGGGAAGGCTCAGCCTGAATGAGAAGCAGAGTTGCACTAGACTGGGGTGAGGAAGCCTGCAAAGCCTCAGGGCATCCGCCCGCCTGCAGGTGTGTGCACTTGACCCTGAGAGCCCACGATGGATCCTTCTCCACATATGGGAAGGGGGCTGGCTGTAGGGAGAACCAGGAACAGGCACTGGAAAATTCCCAGAGGGAGGGAACGAGCCTGAAAGCACGTTAGTGCTGCCGAGGGCAGACGGGGTTAGTCAGGGCATCCTTGTGCAAGCAGAATTGGCCAGGCCTTAGAAAGAGCAGGGGTCAGTTGTCACCAATCTAATTAAATTATATTATACTACAAGGAGGGGGCTGGAGGGAATTTGCATTTTAAACAAATTCCCAGGAGACATTTTCATTTTAGACACCTTGTTAACACATCCATTCATGGAATGTCGGAATGTCCCGGGCAGACTTCCTGTTCCCAGTGCTGGCCTGGGCTGGCACCACCCTTGCCCCTACACTTCTGCTTGGCACCCCAACTTCGGAGAATAGCCAGTCCTGCCCCCAGGGTCCTTCTCAGCCTCCAGGGTCTACCGCCTCCTCTTGTCCCATCACAGCTGCTCCCACCCACCTTCACTGCTTTGTCATCCAACGCCCCCCTCAGCACTGGGGAGTCTGCCCTTCAGACTGAGAGTCTGGCAGGAAGAATGGGGATCCCATAAAAATGCTCAGGGTCGGGGTCGGCCCCGTGGCCGAGTGGTTAAGTTCACGCGCTCCACTTCGGCGGCCCAGGCTTTCGCCGGTTCGGATCCTGGGCGCAGACATGGCACCGCTCATTAGGCCCTGTTGAGGCAGTGACTCACATGCCACAACTAGAAGGACCCACAACTAAAATATACAACTATGTCCTGGGGGGATTTGGGGAGAAAAAGCAGAAAAAAAAAAAAAAAAGAAGAAGATTGGCAACAGTTGTTAGCTCAGGTGCCAATCTTTAAAAAAAACAAAACCCAGGGTCCTTGGGCCCCCCCGCAGAGATTGCGGCTCAGCCGGGCACTTCCTACCCTCTGTGGCCCCTCACCTCCACAGGACTGCTTACTTCTTCTGATCAGAGGGAAGACGGGGTCAGTAGCAGCTGCCCCAGCCTCCGGGCCCTGGAAGGGGTTGGGGTGTAGGGGAAATGCCAAGGGCTGCAGTGGGGAGAGGCTGTCCTGAGCCCCCACCCCAGCTCTGATCAGATCTGCTCCCAGTAAACTAGATACACTGGGGGCAGGGAGGGCACCTGCAACTGGCACATATTTCCAGAGTGTTGCTGGCACAGCTGGGGACTGTCAACCTGGCTGGGGTCTCAGGGTTCCTGTAAAGGCTGAGTAACAGGCCCTGTGCCTGCATTGAGACGTGGTGGGTAATGGATCCCGGGGAGATGGGCCCCCAGAACGGCCCTACCCTGACCCCTCTGCCTGTCCCCTCTCCTGGGGGGGGACACCGTGGCCCAGCTGGGGATCTGGGGCTCCACCTGAAGAGCATGCTGGCATGCCTGAGCGCTCAGGAATCTGAAATCTTGGGAAGACCGACTCATGGTGAGCCCCGGCTGCCTTCTCTCTACTCCCCTGAGACCAGAGAGACCTGTGGGGCTGGGCTGCAGCCTCAGGATTGAAGTGAGGTTTGGGGAAGAACCGAAGGAGACTTGTTCACTGTGGAACAGACTGTGAGAAGGCCCCAGACCTGTGAAATGCAGAGGCCTGTTCCGGGGGTAAAGGCAGACCCCACAGCCCCAGGGCTTTCAGACAAGGACAGTGTGGGGTGTGGAGGGAGAGACTCCTGTGGGGACCAGAAGGAGCCATCCTGCCCCAAGTGGGAGAGTCAAGCCAAGAAGGGGCCCCTCCCTGCATCTCCTGATGGGCAGTTTGTCTGCTCTTAGAGAGAAGCTCTGGACCACAGGCCTGGGCCTGTAAAGATCTCAGGGAACCGGGCCTGTGGGGAACCTAAGGCCCCTGGCCTCTCCTGCCAGGTCCCTCTGTGAACTCAGGAGGCTGTGAGGTCCCTCTGAGTCCTCAGGAGGCTGGGTGTGGAGGGGAGGACAGTGTGGGGGGGGAGCAGTGGGGAGGACAGGGGGAAGACAGTGCTGGGGAGGCAGACAAGGACCCGGCAGGAGAGGCCAGACAAAGTTCGGCTTCAACAAAGTTGCCTGATCACCCCTTTCTTCTCCCTTCCAGGGACTCAGGGGGCCGAGTCATTAAGCGGTAAGCATCCACTGCCCTTGGCTGGGGCGGGCTTGTCTGAGAGCTGTGAGACTGGCCAGGGACCCCCAACATACACCTGAGACGAGACCCAGAATGAACAGGCAGAGCATGGGGATCCCGGTGCGGAAAAGCTGTGGAGCCCAGACAGGAGTGGAGGAGGAGGGTCTGACACATGGTGCAGACGGAGCACTGAGCTATGAAGCACAGAGAATGAGGCAGGAAAAAGCGACAGGAAAGAAGCTAAGGATAGACTCTGAAGACCATTCTGCTGTAACAGTGACAGACCCCCTCAGAGTCACCCACCCCATGTGGGACTCTCTCAATACCCATTGTCCTGGGAGCCCGTTTGTCAGGCCCTGGTAAAACTTACATGTGTTATCTCAGCCCTCCCTGTGACCCAGGAGGTAGGTCTGATGTCACCATTCACAGGTGAGAGGCCTGAGGTCCAGGGGGGCATGGAAGGGGGAGGGTCCCACAGCTGGGAAAGGTCTGCCTGTGTTAGATGCCCTGGCCTCCGACTTGCCCAAAGTCCCTGAGCAGGGGAGGGGCAGGGAGGTCCCGGAATTAAGCAGAAAGTGGAAGCTGGAGTATGGTGTTGGGAGCAGGGAATCAGAGCCGGTGCAGCTGGCCCCCAGTAAGCGCCAGCTGTCATGTCCCTCTAGTCTGCGGGCGCCCGAGGATGAGGATGCTGAACCGGATGGTGGGCGGGCAGGACGCCTCGGAAGGCGAGTGGCCCTGGCAAGTCAGCATCCAGCGCAACGGAAGCCATTTCTGCGGGGGCAGCCTCATCACGGAGCGCTGGGTCCTCACCGCGGCGCACTGCTTCTCCAAGTGAGTCCGCCGAACCCCACGCCTCCCCCACCCCGATCCCTCCCCACCGGGGCCGCGGGGACCGAGGACAGAGCCGGGCGCCGGGCTCCAGCACCACGGACAGCGCCCCACCTGCTCGCGAGGAAGCCCGGCCCGCAGGGACCGGCTTCCCCGCCAGAACGCCCTTTAGGTCCAACCTCGGGGCTAACCTCCGGCTGCAATCCCCGCTTCCAGTCCTTGCTCCCCGCAGCCCAGCCGCGAGGGGTCCACTCCCCCTCTGCTGGTCCCTCCCAGCTTTGCCACGCCTGGGGCCCTGTCCTTGCAAATGCTGGCAGGCTCTTCCAACGCCCTGGCCCTCTTCCCTGTCCCCGCCCCCTTCTCCCTCCCTCCCCCCTCTCTCCCCCTCTGCCCGCCCCAGTCCAGGACACTCCCTTTCCAGCTGGGATCTGGTTACAAATGAGCCCCAGGACTGGAGCAGAATGTCCCTTCCTCCTCCTCCCTGTCTAACGTCACCCGTGCCATCCCTGAGCAAAGTGCCACCCAATGTATGCTACCGTACTATCGGCCCCAGACCTGCAGGGTCCCCAAGCATCTCAGCTCTTGCCGCACCACAGCTCTGCAACTCTTAAAACCTCACATCTTAAACTGAGAAATGTGGGCTCAGAGGGAGTAGCCGCTTGCCCAAGGCTCACGGGCAGGGCTGGGCCCAATCCCCACTTGGCTGGTCCCCAGCTGCACCCCTGTGGGTGGTCATCTCCTTCGACCCTCAGAGCAAGCCTTTCAGGTCGGGACCATCACTGTCCCCATTTTACAGACGAGGAAGCTGCGTTAGGGAACTTGCTAGGTGACTTGCCCAAGCTCACCTGACTGGCCAGCGGTAGAGCTGGGAATTGAAGTCAGGAATGAAAGCTGCTTCAGCTGCCACCCCCTTAAGCCCCTCATCCTGCTGTATGTCCTTCTGGAGGTGACGTTTTTGAAGATAATGTGCAGAGACATCAGGCACTGTGGAGGGCCAGGAGGGAGGTCTCTGACAGCTCCTCCCTAGTTCCCTTCCCTTAACTTCCACCAACTCCCCTTTTTAAGCCCTAGAGCGGCTGCCTCATACCAGCTCTCTGCTCTTTCCCACCAGCACGTCCGAAACAGCCCTGTACCAGGTCCTGCTGGGGGCGCGGCAGCTGGTGAAGCCAGGGCCGCACGCTGTGTACGCCCAGGTGAAGCGGGTGGAGAGCAACCCCCTGTACCAGGGCATGGCCTCCAGTGCTGATGTGGCCCTGGTGGAGCTGAAGGCTCCCGTGACCTTCACCGATTATATCCTCCCCGTGTGCGTACCTGACCCCTCGGTTGCCTTTCAGACGGGCATGAACTGCTGGGTCACCGGCTGGGGCAGCCCCAGTGAGCAAGGTAATGGGGCAGGGCCAGGAGAGAATGGGGGACATGCCTAGAGAAGGTCTCAGGCAGCTTGGGGGCCACTCTGAACCAACAATCTTTTTCTGTTGATATTGGTACACATGATCTCTATTCAAGTGGGGGAAGTGGGTATGGGAAAGGGTCAGTAGACTCAGAAGGAGGAGCCATGGGGAAGTGGAGAGAGGGGGACAGAAAGAACCCAACCTGGTATGTGGAAGGAGGGAAGAGGGAATTCTGTTCCACGAAGCCCCAAGCCAGAAGAGAAGGTCTAAACCCAAGCAAGAAATAGGGAGCAATAGAGCTGTGGTTCTCAAGAACCCAGGGCCAGAACCCCTCGGTGGGACTGTCTGCTGAGCTGCAGCCTGTTTCACGGCTCCCTAGACCGCCTGCCCAACCCACGGATCCTGCAGAAACTCGCCGTGCCCATCATTGACACGCCCAAGTGCAACCTGCTCTACAGCAAAGATGCTGAGTCCAACTTCCAGCCGAAAACCATCAAGGACGACATGCTGTGTGCTGGCTTTGCTGAGGGCAAGAAGGACGCCTGCAAGGTAGGGGCTGGGGTGGGCTGTGTGCAGGCTGAGCCCTGATCCCAAGGCCCAGGTCAAGGTGGGAGCCATCCCAGCTGGATGAGACCCCGGCAGGCGGTCCAGACCAGAGCTGTGCGTTCAGTCAGCTGGGAAAATTCCAGGACCTCAATCAGGGGAGTTAGTGAGTTGGTCTGCAGTGGGGCCCAAGAAACTGCATTTTCAACGCCCCCCCTCCACCCACCCCAGAGGTGAATCAAGGCAGGGAGTCTGGGGATGCTAGAGAAATGGGTACCCCAGACCAGAAAAGGAAGGACCAGCCATGGGTGTGTGCGTGTGCGTGTGTCCTGGGCAGGGACATTCCTAGGGAGGGGAGCTGTGGAGAGGGACAGAGGGAGGAGGACAGGTGTGTACGTGTGCCTGTGTCCCTGCAGAGGAGGCTCTTGGGCCCCTGTGGGCTCTGACAGTGCCTCTGCTTCCCCCACAGGGCGACTCTGGGGGCCCCCTGGTGTGCCTCGTGGGCCAGTCGTGGCTGCAGGCTGGGGTGATCAGCTGGGGCGAGGGCTGCGCCCGCCGGAACCGCCCAGGCGTCTACATCCGGCTCACCTCCCACCACAGCTGGATCCATCGGATCATCCCGGAACTGCAGTTCCAGCAGGCTAGGTTGGGCAGTCAGAGGCGGGGCCCCCGGCTCCAGCAGCCCCTGGGTCGGAACTTTGCGCCCTGCCTGGCAGCCCACGCTGTCTTCCTGGTCCTCACGGCCCTGCTCACCTTCCTCTGAGCCCCGGGTCCACGGTGTACATTTTGTAAATAGCTCTCCAATTCTCCCTTCTCTCAAATGCCCAGATATTTTTATTTATGTTCATTCTCCAATAAAAACCCAACCTCAGTGCTGGCTGCCTGGGTGCAGACCCTCGGGGGAAGGAGGAGTAGAGAGGTGCCAGTTCGGGGGTGCTGAGGAGCTGTGAGTTGGGGCCAATGCCAGGGTGGGGGAGGGTGGCTCCCCAGCAGGAAGGGAGCCATGGCAGGCACACTGGGGACTGGACGTCACTGGAGTCCAGGGTCTCTAGTGTCCCCTGTGACACCGGCAGAAAGAATGGGTCCTGGCAGAGCACCTTGGAGGAGGGCTTTGCGGGGTGTGGGGATCACAGCCCCCACTGCATACGTCTGCATCACCCTGAGACGTCTTCAAATAACGTCAACAGGGTGACGCACCTACGGGGAGAAGGCAGCAGCTCCTCCTAGGGCCCCTCCAGGAGTTCCCTGTTCCCCTGCTCCCCCTTGACCCCTGTTCCTTTTTCTCCATCCCCTCCCTCAGCCTCGACCTCCCCACTGGTGAGTCTAAAGCTGCAGGGGGTGGGGAGGGGCTGGAGTTGGGGCCCACGTCCCCTGGGAGCCATTGACAAGTTGCTGCTCCCCTCTGAGCCCATTTCTCTCCTGTAACCCAGGACAGCACCGCCCACCTGCCTCTCAGGGGTAATCGGGTGAAGGCGCCAGAGGGCGCGACAGAGAGAGGCAGCAATGTGGGTCCTGCCCCTGGGCTCCCGTGCCTGCTAGCCTCCCTCCTAGGCCCCATACCCCCCTCACAACTGCCTGGGGACAGCTCTGCTGGGTCCCTGTAGACCCAACACCCTGGGAGGCCTCAAACCTCAGGGGTGCAGGGCCCAGTATGGCCCCCATCAAGTCCACACACTGTGTGGGCAGCCAGCCCACAGAGGAGGCAAGGCCCAGGCCACTTGGGGCCATGGATTCAGCAGAAGAGGCCCCCCGAGACAGCTGAGGCTCCAGTGGCTCCCTGGGCCAGCACCCCTTCCTTCCTCCTTCCATAGGGTTCAGAGTTCGGGCCATACTTGCTGGCATCTTTAAGGGTTTGTGCAAGGATCCCCAAGAATTCAGAGGAGCTAGAATCCTGCATGGAGAGCCTCACATTTGGCTTTGCTCACAGCGCCCCCACCCCAGGCCTGCTGGCTCGTCCTTGGCCCAACTCTGCAGCCCCACCCTCTCTTCCTTCGTCCTGTCATCAGCAGCCCCACACAATCTCGCCTGGACCTGCCCCTCCTTCCCAGTCTGCCCTGTTCCGGCTGTTGTCACTAGGAATCCAGCACAAACATGTCTCTGGAGCTCAGCCCCTCACCCCCCTCACTCTGGCTCTGCCCGGGCCTGCCCGGCATGGCAGTGATGGCACAGCCACCCAGGGAGACAGCCTCAGGTTCTCAGCCCCTTCTGCAAGCTGATTCCTGAAAGGTACCTGGGCTTGCCTGCCGCACTCAGCACCCACACACTGGATGAGACTCCTAGGAGGGCACGGTTGACTGCTGCCTTCCACACCATATACGCACACCCATGCCAGCACAAAAATCCATACACCCATGCAAACACAGTCACTAGTTCACCACATATGTACATTTGTGTAGACACGTGCACAGCCACCCATGCACACAGAAACACACACACAAACGCAAGCACATGCACACCCCAGCTTGCCACGTACAAGCATGTCCTGGCCCGGCGCCAGTGCCGGTGCCAGTGCCGGGAAGAAAGCAGGCCTGGATGTTCAGGGAATAAATCAGTAACCACTTAGCAGACACCTGCTGTGGACCGGCCCTGGGGACAGAGCAGGGAACAGAAAATGAATTCTCCTTCGTGCTCCCCCTTGCCCTGGGGCATCCCTGCCCAGAGGCAGGAAGGACGACTGGAAGGGCAGTGCCTGGCAGAGGCTCCTGGCAGCCCCACCTCCCTGCTGGCCCTCCAGCACTGGGACCAGGCTGTGGGGTCCTGAGGGCAGCAGAGGGACGTGTTCTGGGTCACCCTGCCAGGAGCAGGGGCTGTCTGGGTCCTGCAGCCTTGGAGAGAGGCCTGGAAAACTCACCACCCTGTTCTAGGAGGTGTAAAAAGCCCCAGGCCCCACAGTGGTGGTGGGGTTACATACAGAAGGCTAGGTGGTCTCCAGAGGGAGGCCCCTCTGCTGCCTCTAGTGAGAGGCCAGGATGAAGCCTGACTCCCCAGAGACAGGGCAAAGACCAGGCTCCCCTCAGAGGAGGACTCGCCATCCCATCTCTGCCACCTCTTGCCTGCTGTCCCGGCTTGCTGGGTGCCCTGGGTCCCCCATCATCCTGCTTCTGCTACAGGGCAGGGCCTGGGGCTGATGGGGAGGAGGGGCACAGACACTGGGACAGCCTAGTCGCCCCCTGCTGTAGCCTCTGTGCTGCTGCAGGCTGCCCCATGTGAGGTGGCGGCCAACACTACTCTAGGGCACAGGGCCCCCACCCAGACCCTTGGTAGACGCTCCTATGAGCTAGGAAGGGAGAACCCTCTCGCAGAGATTACTGGTTTCAAAGGGAAAGCAGGGTTATTTCACACCTCGCACAGTAAGTCTAGTGTGAGATTAGGAGAAAAATGACCCCAGCTGTCACGGGTCCCCTCTCCCACCCTGGGTGGAGGAGCAGTACCTCAGAGTCTGCCGGGTGGGTGGGTGGTGCCAGGGCCCTGCCAGCTGAGGAAGAACCCTGCAGAGGACGGGCCAGCCCAGCCTAGGAGACTGTCCGCTGCCCCACTGGGCAGCAGGGAGCGGGCCCAGCCCAGGGTAGGGCCCCATGATGGAAGGCCCACCTTGCAGCAACCACAGTGCTTATAAGAGAAGAAAGAGGAGGAGGGGGGCACACACCCCTTCTGGGGGCTGCAACCGAGCCCACAAATCCACATACATGCACGCACGCACACGCGTGCTGTGCGCATGAAAATTTTGTTCAGCCGATGGGAGCCCCTTCTGGCCTCAAAGACCAGGGGTCAGCCATGGCCATGAGGTCACAGGACTGGTTCTGTGCCCTGAGGGTAAAGTGGCCCTGGCCTGATGCTGCCACCCAGAGCTCAGGCCTCAGAAGGCAGGGAAGGCAGGAGGCATGGAGGGGGGAAGGAAAGAGGGGGTGCAAATCAGAGGCCCAAAGCCAGAGACCCCCACCCCCTCGGGGCTGCGCATCAGTGTCCAAGGAGGTGCTGGAGTGGCAGTGCTTCTGCTCCTGGACACCAGCCACCCAAGCTCCAGGTGCGTGGGCCTCAGTGCCCCACAGGCCGGAGGACACAGGCTGTGAGGCAGATGGTGGCACTGCAGGGGTGGCCCTTTACTGCCTCATCAGGCTCAGTGACCGACGTGCAGTGGGGCACCAGCCAGCTGCTGCCACCAACTTTGGGGAGGATGGAAGATGCCAGAAGGACCTGTTGAGTGGATACCAGTAAAGGCAGGGGAGGGGAAGCGACAAGGAAAGGCAGTGCCTGGCCCTGTGCAGTGGCCTGGAAGGTTCTGGGCATGGGCTCTGCAGGAGGCCCAGTGGCTGGAGAGCCACACAGTTGGCCCTGAGGCTGCCCCGAGCTGTGCTGTTACCCTCCCACACCCATCCACGGCAGGCAGGCTGGAGCGCAAGGTCCAAAGGGCAGGGCTCCCTCCCTGGCCAGTGGACCCAGTGTAAGGGCCCTTGGCCTCAGGACCCAGACCAGACAGCTGTCTCCTTTCCAGTCCTCTGCTCAGACGGGAGTCAAGCTCAAGGCTTTGACGGGGACACTGAGACACTCTGGGGCCTCTCCCAAGTGCCTGCTGGCAGAGGGGCCTGGAGGCAGGTCCAGGTTCACTGTTGGCATCAGGGAGCTGCAAGATGTCAAGTTTAGTCTGGTCAGGAAGAAAACTCCTCTGAGTAGAATCTGGAGTCCTTTCCTGTGGGAAGCAGCACGGCCCGCCCTGCCCACCCCTCTCAGCCCTGACCCTGGGGCCCCTGGCTGGGCCAGCCACACACCTAGAAACAGGATGGACACTCGGAGAAGATTGGGAGTTTGGGCAGCCGAGACTCCAGCATCTTTGGGTCTAAGACATGCTCCCAACTCCAGGGATCCAGAGCTCTCCGGGAACAGAGAGTGGAAAATCCCCTATGGTGGCTGGGGTGGCCCAAGGGGCCTGAGAAGAGTGGCCACCAGGGGGAGCCCGAGCGGCTGTGTTGGGGCAGGGGCAGCGCCCAAGGATGTGGAGAAATGTCTCCGAAGCTGGTACTTCCGTCCAGGATAGAGACAAGAGGACACGCTACATTCAAGGAGGCATCAGCACTTTTTAGAGTCGCTCAAGGATGATCTTGTTCCCGGGGATGGGGTCGGGAGGGAGCAGGCCAGCCTGGCTGAGCTGGGAGACGAGCATGTGCTGCTCTAATCCACCTGCTCCCCCTGCAGAGCGGACAGACAGGTGGACAGGCCAGCTCCCCTCAGCTTTGGTGGCACCCAGGGTGGCCGCAGCCTGGGGTCACCATCGTGCAGGGTCACCACAGCCCAGGGCAGCGCCTCTTCCATGCGTTTGAAGATACTAACATTTGTTCTGCTCATTCATAAATACACAACTTTATTTGCTATTTTCAGGGAAACTTAGGCATTAAACTGTAAGCTGATAAAATACGGATACCTAAAAAAGTACAAAAGTATAAATATCCCCTCAGAATAAATTTTAGTGAATTAAGTCTTAATATCTTTAAATTAAAAAAACCACAAGCCTATCTATTATGTCAAGGTCACAAATCAAACGACTCTAAGGGGCCGACAGCACCCCACAGGGACACCCGAGGCCAGCAAGGGGCACCCTCCACCCAGGGAGTACGGGTCACAGGGGCTAAGTGTGCCCGATGGAGAGGTTGAGAGAAACGGATGAAGCCAAACATTTACCAACATACAACAGATCTTACAAAAAGGAGGAGGTAAGTCCTGGGCGCTGGAGAACTTGGTTAATCAGGGTGTTGGCAAAGAAGAGGGCACAGGTGGGAAGCCTCTGGAAGCATCTGTGACTAGCCGTGTCAGAGCTTCTGCCCGACGTGTGGGCATCCCCGGTGGTCAGGAGGCAGTGAGCTGCTCATATGAGCCAGGCCCCAGATCCTGACAGTGCCCACGGCCAGCTGAGAAAGGTCTGTCCTCAGAGCACGGGGACAGTAGGTTGGAAGGACTCCTAGTGGCTGCAATGGCATGTCAGTCGGGCAGAGCCTGTGCAGGTGGCATGTGAAGTCTCAGACATCCCAGCAATATGAGAGAGAACTGCATAGTTATACAAAGAAACGAGGGGGCCGGCAGGAGAGATTTGTGATGCCCTGTAAACATGCGGTTTTCAGTGTGACTGGAGTCTAAGCTCCAGAAGCCAGGTGGACAGGCCTCCTGCCCCGACCGCCATCCCAGGCGAGACAAAGGCACTGAGGGCACCAGCTCCCCCACGAGCCCGTGGGTGGGGCAGATGAGGCAAAGCTTCTACCTCCTTTTAAACACTTAACATATCAATCCAAAATGCAGCCACACTTCTAGGCATTTCTAAAAAGTAAAAACATTGGGTAGCCTATCCACACTGGGAAAGAAGGGGTGCAAGGTCTCTCGCCTGGAAAATACATCTGGAGGAGCCTTGACTGTTCCCGGCGGGGAAGCCTGGCTCCGAAGGAGGCCCAGCCTCGGGGCAGAGGCCCGGGCAGTAGTGAACACATGGAGGCCACTCACTGAGGCTTCGAGAAACTGCCGATCGATCACGCCCAGGAGGCGAGGCAGACTCCCCGAACCAAGGACCAGGGCCTGGTGCGCACGTGAGTGCCAGCGGCACCCAGAGCCCAGGGCCTCAGCACTGCAGCCACTTCCCACCAGTGAGGCCCAGGCTCCATTACAGACTGTTTCTGTAGCACCAAGAACGCTGTCCTTGAAATGGTCTTCGGTGATTAAAGGAGTGCTTGGGAGCGTCCTGCCTCAGGCCCATGTGGCACTTGGAAAAACCGAGCGGAGGCCCCAAGGGGACGCCCACCCGGCCAGCATGTTTCCTTCGAGCGGGGACACCCAGCCTCAGACAGCTGGTCCCGTCTCTCACCACCCACCTCAGAGGCAAAAAAGGATCCACAACCAGATCTCTAGAGAAATTGTCAAAAGCAGGCTTCTTCTCACGGTCAAGCTTCCTCGACATGGCGGTTCATTGCATCCTGGGAAAAGGTAAAATGGTTCTTCCTTCAGCTATCAACACTGTGTTCCTCACATCCTGGAACCCCGTTCTTGCAAAATCTGAAAACGTCAAACACAGAAAATGAGGACTAGAGCCTTGGACGGGGAGGCGGCCTGCAGCCAGGCAGGAACTGCATGGCCCTGAAGCCAGTGCCCGGCTCCAGGGAGCAGAGCCCACAGACCAAGTGTGGGCCCTCAGATGGCATGGCTCAGGGGCCTGAGGAAGCCAGAACTGTGGGCCAGGGTCCGAGAAAGGCTGAGGCCCAGAGACCCTCGCTGTGGGGGACTGGCTCTCGCACCTCCAGGCCTCACAAGAGGGGCCGGTCCCACCAACTCTCCATCCCAGCCTGATGTCCGACAGACACCTCTTCCTCCATCTCCCACCACAGTAGGAGGCCTGTCCTCCACCTGGCACCTCCCTGGGCTTCCTCTGGGACACCCGAGACACGCGGGCATGGCCCAAGGCGGGATGGCTCCTTCTCAAAGCCCCAGGGACCCCTGGCTGCATCTCCCCTTGATGGCCACCACGCACCCCTTGCAAGGGCACCAGAGCCCACCTGACAGTTTCTCTCTCCAGCCTCTCTCGGTCCTGGGCCACAGACATGTGTGTACAACCAGGGGCCCCCATGGGCCCAGCAGCCCCCACAACAACCTGCCCGTCTTCCATGCCTCATTGCAAACTACGTCCCCTCCACCCTGCACCCAGCCACAAAACCCAGAACTCTGGGCCCCTGGGACTGCCCTGTCACCCCCACATCCACACCTACCTGTCGGCCCTGCATGCTGCCCGGCTGGGCTCATGTCTTGCTGCACAAGTACACTGGCTTTCCTGTGACTGGACCACACAACTTGTGGGTGCCAGCCCCTCTTTGCTGCAGCCAGATGAGACTCTGGAATGTGTACCTCCCACTGGGGGACCCACCAGCCCTGTAGAGCCTGCTGGCCCTCAGCCGCCATGCCTGTCCCTTTCCCTCCCAGTCATTCTTGGTATCTCAGGGCTGGAGCAGCCCCTGGCCTCCCTCACCATTAGAACCATCTCTGCATCCCATCCCTGCATCCCATCCACCCCCAAACTGGGCTGGGGGCTCCATAAGGCTTGGAGCCACCTCTGGACAGGCCTGCATTCTGACAAATGCCTGCGAAGTCAAACCCCACGTGGACGAGGTAGAGGATGGAACCATCTGTGGCCCTAGGTGGGGGCTTCAGAGCTGGCAAATCTCGCTGTTCTGATACGTCGAGTATGGCTGCCAAGTACCAGGGATCCAGGACAGAAATGCCACCAGTCCCAGCCTGGCCAAGGCCAGGGCTGTAAGGTGACCCTCCCCACAATCACATGGCAGCATATGGGCTAGCCTCCCAGGGGCATGTCCTGCTTGAATTTCAGAGCTGGGACAGATACAGCTCTGAGGACACTGTTTTTGAGCCCTGGACCCGTGTGCAACACAGGGATGTGCCCTGGGAGGAGCCAGCTCTGCTCATGCAGTACCCAGGCCATGAGAATTCTCTGGCAGAGAGAGGGTCAGCACCTCCTGGCAAGGCCTTGCTAGGGCAGGTGAAGTGCTCAGGCTCCAGTGAGCACCACGTGGGCTCCCGATCCCGCTCAGTGGCAACGTGGCCCCAGGCAGAGGGCAGCCAGTCACTCAGGTTCACCAGGGCTTATTCCAAATGACTCAAGAGACGGCATGGACTTGCTCCAGTCTGTCCCCTGATGCCCCGCACACTTCTGCTGGTCCCCAGGCTCATGCCCCTGCGTCTCTGAGCACTCTGGGAGCAGCTCAGACAGCACGCTTTCCTGCTCTGCTGCTGTGCCCACCGCCTGGGCCCGTGTCCAGTCCCTGCAAGGCACATCTTCCATTGTGCTGGGGGGCAGCACCCTAGACTAAATGCCCCACCTCAGGCAGGACGAGGGCAAGCCTCTAAGTCTAGTAGGACTTGCCAGCTCTCTGGGAAAGGGCCCAGGAGGCCCCTGTCAGAGGGATATGTCTGAGGAGGTGACTTGGGGTGACAGCGCATCCTGGCTTAGCCCTTGCAAGTCTCTCCTGCCCCCAAGGCGCGGATTCCACCTCCAGGGAGGTCTGCGGCCCTGCTATCTTTGCTGTTTGCAGGGGAAGCTGGGGCATGCGGGGGTCCGTGAAGCACAGAGCTGCCCCTCACTCTGTGAGAGCCCAGCGGAGCTGAGGGAGCACCTGAGTTCACAGGACTAAGCAGTGGAAAGGACAAGGCCAAACAACCGGAATGTAGCCCAGGAGCAAGGTGACAACACAGGAGGGGCTGCCCTGCCAGATCCCCAACTATCTCCCACCGAGGACAGAAGACCCCTCCTAGGATCTGTGACAGTTACGGCCCCATCTGCCCTGGACAGAGCTCTCACCCAGGCCACCTCCCACAGGGGAGGCCTGAGCCAACCGCAGGCACCAGGCAGGCAGAGCACTGTGAGCAGCACCCCTACAGGCGGACCCAGGCGAGTCGATGCTGCTCCACCCTGCGATGGAGAGAGCGGTAGGGGGCCAGGGCTGCCCCATGATCAGCCCACACACGTGCCCCCCACAGCCCAGACCCCTGAGTTAGGGCCACCAAAGCAGTTCCTGCTGGCAGATGCAAAATCAGTAACTGCAGGGTGGGGGTGGGGGGTGGAAAGAAGCCCTCCTCCCTCCCGGGGGTGGGCCAAGTGGCAGCACCCAGATGGGTTCCTGTCACCGGTCACCACTAGGCCAAGGTTGAGAGCCTGCTGCCTGCTGCCCACGAGATGGGCGAGCCCCTAAGTTGCAGCCGCGCCGAGTTGAGGTGGGCCACCAGCACAAACCGTATGCCTGACCTCCGAGACCTTGAGTGAGAAAGTGAAATAGCTCACTGATTTTTTAGATTGAAATGACAACATTTTGCTTATTGGGGTTATCCGTATTGGCATAAATTTCACATTTCTTTTTACTTTCTTAACATAGCTACTGAAAAGTCTGGAACGACAGATGGAGCTCGTGTTGCACGTCCCCTGGACAACGCTGTTCAGACCTCGGTGCAGCAAACTTCTTCTTGAAAGGCCAGATAGTAAATATTTTAGGATTTGTGGGTCAAGAGGCAAAACTGAGGATGCTATGTACTTACATAATCACCAAAAAAAGAAGAAGAAAGCCACACTACAAATGTAAGAAAGCCACACTACACATGTAAGAGCCATTCTTACTGTTTGACCCCTGGTTTAGACCTCTCATTGCCCGATGGTCAGCCTTCCAGTGCTCGGCTGGCCACATGCCTTTCCCAGGCTCCTCCCAGGGCAGAGGCTGAGGGGCCCCAACCTGTAGGGCTCGGTCCATGACAGGGAGGCCATGGCAGGAGCCAGGGGATCCCCTGGATGTGCCTGGCTCACTCGCCTGCAATTTGCCTTCTCTAGGCCTCAATATCCAACTATCTATGTGCGAGATAAGGGAGCAGACCAGGCGGTCCCCACTAACGGAGAGTGCAGTCAGGCTCTGGAATCGGCTGGGCCTGCGAGTCTGGGACAGTGAGAAGAGGCCAGGACGAGGGAGGGACTGGAGGAGCAGCTGGGAGCCCAGAGGACATTCATGGAGTCTCCCACCGCAGGGCAAACAGAAGGAGGGTCCACACAGATTCCTCTCCACCAGCATCCCTCGCCTGAGGCTGGGGGGAGCAAGGGGGCTGCGGGCACAGTGTCGGGATCAGGGTCTACCCTCTGCGGCACAGGCCGACTCCATGGCCCTGAGCCCGTGGCCTGGTGACATGATGGGAAGGCTGCAGGCTAGGGGCTGGGGGCTGCCCAGGCCCCAAAAGGTGTAGACCCATGTCTTCACCTGCTGACATCCACCGTGAAGAGGCTCTTCAGAGACCTGACACACAGGCTCTCAAGCAACCCAGCCAAGGTCCCAATCCCACCCCCAAGGGCATCCTAAAGGGGACAGACAGCCGGCCCCTTCCCCAGACAGGCCAGCTTCACCGCAGATCTACAGTCAGCATCTAGTGTGGAAGGTTCTCTGTCAACTACAGGCAGGGCACAGACACCACGGAGGAGGGGCTGGGGTCACGGAGACTACGTGCGTGGTCAACTTCAAGGGCAGCAGAGCTCACCATGACATTTACATTTAATCTGAGTCATTTTCATCGTGACCCGTCTCCTCGTCGTCACTCTGGCTCGGTGCGCAGCATGCGGCAGGGGAGGAGAAGAAGAGAGGGCACCGTCAGTGCAGGACAAGATGGGAGGCAGCGGAGGGAGGCCCACCCAGAGAAGCTGCAGCGAGCACGGGCATTTTGGGCCACAAGCTCCCGTGGCGCTGTGATGAAGAAGCACAGACCAGCTACGTCTGGGGGGCCCTGAGCCCCAAAATCGCATGCCCAGGTCACACCATGGAGGAAAACTCGGGGCTCGGGCGTCTCCCTGCACCCTACTGTCCCAAAGTTCCAGAGTTTTTCTTCCCTCTATGTAGGGAAGAACTGAACCTTGCCCAAACAGAGGGCTGGCTTTTGCCCTCTGCTCCTGAGAGATTGTGACCTCCAGGCCACACCGGACAGTCTGACAATGTGATGGGGGTGGGGTCAGTTGGCCAGGGGGCCTGGAGACTGTGATCAGGCACATGGGCGATCAATCATCGATCAATCGATGGATCAATCATGTCTACGTGACTGAGCCCAGTAAAATCTCTGGACACGGAGGCTGGGGGAGCATCCCTGGTGGGCAGTGCTCCGTGCACGTTGCCACACATCCTGACTCCAGAGGGAGAGCAAAGGAGCTCCAGGTCTGGCATGTCTCCTGGCCTCTGCTCCATGCACTGTGCCTGGCAGATCTGAATCCTCCCTCTGACTCTTCCGTAATAAACCATAAGCGTCACAGCAGTCAGGGAGTTCTGCGAACCCTTCCAGCAAATGATGAATCAGAGGGTGGTTAGGGAAGCCCCTGAACTTGTCCGCCACTTCCACCCTGAGATGGGAGCCTGTCCCCTTAGTGCTAGGAGATAACATGTGCCACGGGGCACCCAGTGAGCAGGTCCACAGGCAGTGACACTTGCTGCCCTCAGGACATGGGACACTGCTCCAAACAGGCTGCCCACGGGTGCCCTCAAATCACTGTCCCAAATTCAGCTCCAATGGTTTTCCATGGCTTTCTGGAGAACTGGCTCCGCCTCCCAGGGAGCTCCTGCCACTGCCCCCATTTAGAAGCCACCCTGGCGGCCACATTTCAGAAGCAGATATTTTTGGAGAGAGAAATAGGGCCACGTTTCAACAGCAAAGAGATTTGGGGTCACGCCTGGAGCTCCCTCACAGCACAAAGGCATCCTTTCTGCAGCTGAAAAGCCACCTGAGGGAAACGAGCTCAGGCAGCTGCCCTGATGAGCTTGGCTATAAAAACTTTTCAAGTTCAGAAATAAAAGCTTCTAAAAATAAACAACTTACAAAAGAGCCCTGACCCCGACAGAGAGAGATGCGCCTCCTCAGAAGCTGCAGGCTCTCGGGAAGCGGGGTCGTCTTCCAGCCCAGACTCCACAGGAAGTGTGTCCCCGGGCCTCCTTCCTCCCCGGGTGCCCGTCTGTCCCCGAGCACCACAGGATCTGTGCCGACCCCACGCTGTTCCGCCCCGTGCAGCGGGATAGCCTGGACCCCACATATGCAGCTGTGGGCACCGCAGGAGGCCAGAGCAGAGACTCAAGCACTCTGGACAACCACCCCGTCATGAAGACAGCGGGCTTCTTCACGCTGTGGTGAAAAAGCTGCCTTGAGCCCCGGTGGACGATAGCCACGGCGGGAGGACAGTGGGCACAGTGGCTTCTCTGTCTGTTCCCAAGCCCACACCTCTAAGGGAGACCCTGAAAGGATGACAGGGGTGGTCCTGGGCAGGCGGCAGCCAGTCAGAGACCACCCAGGCCAAGAGTCTGAGGAAGCTCAGGGAGCCCCCGGTTTAATGCCATCAGTTACAACCCTTCTGGCTCTGGCCTTTTCCTGCATTACTCAAAACATCCTTTGGCAGGCAATGCCTTGACTCTTCACCAAAGCTGCCTGTGGGCCCAGGACTCACAGGCTGGATGCCACAAAGTCCCACTCCCACCTTCCCAGCTCTGCTAGGGTCTTGCAGACTCCCCAGGTCCCCCCCGAGCTGGCTGCGGGGCTGTCTGGGTCACCACCTGGCTCGAAGGTCTGGAAGGCCTGCCAGGTGGAGCTAGCTCAGGCCAATGCTGGATTCTGCAAGGACAGACACACCTGGAGTCACCAACCACAGGAGTGGGCCCAAAGGAGCTGCCGCTAGAATCTGTCACCTCTGGGCAAGGCCAGCTGCTACTCTCCACCACAGGGCTAACCCAAAAGCAAATGACATGGCCATTCCCCGTTTTCAGCCTGGCTGCACTTACCCTCCTTAGAGACAGAAGAGTCAGACGCCCAGAAGGGAGCCAGAGCCAGTTCACAAAGGGACTGGCCGGTGCCGGCCGAGGCAACACTCCATGGAGTCTAAAATCACAAGATCTACAGGATCCTCTCCTTTTACAAACCACACATGACTCCTAAGACCAGGACGGATGAGGCCGAGGCAGACGCCATCCAGGGGGCTCTGCCCTCCAGCTTCAAGGTCCTGAGTCCCCAAGAAAACAACCCACAGCGACACCAGTTAAAAGCGTAGTCCCTGCCAGCAGGTCTAGGAGACAACACTTCCAGGAGGACCCTGCCTGTTAGAAGAGGTGTCGGCAGAGGGCATGGACTGTAGAAGCCATGGGGGCTCGCTCCATGGCGGAGCCTCTATGTTCTAAGACCTCTCGCTCCATTCCCCACGTCCTGTGTCCGGTAGCTACGCATCCTGAGTCCCAGGACTTTGCTTCTGATGTATCAAGCAAGAATTACGTGACGACGAACAAGAAGCCTGCAGGGCCGGGAGCGCAGTGAGAACCACAAGAAACGATAAAGCTCTAAGGAGGAAAATCCCAACCCCACAAAGGGCCAGTGTGCCTTCACAAGCCCCCTCCACTGCCAGGAGGCTGAAGCGTCCGGGGCTGCTGCCTCCCAGGCCCGGCACCCCCCGCCCGCTGTGGTCACCCACCTTGGCTTTCTCACTGGGCTCACTGGTCGTGCCGTACGGAGAGTTGTGCAGCTCCTTGGAAACCACACAGAGGAACTCAGCCTGGTCTTCACTCCCATAGTTGTAGGAAGAGCCAATGCTGACCAGCTGGGAGGAGAGAAGGCCAGTGTGATGTGGGCCGAGCTGGGGACCAGCCTGCCCGCAAGGACGGAAACTGCAGCCTGCGAAAACCCACAGCTGAGATAGCCAACACTTGGGAAATCGAGGGACAGTTTCAGCCACAACATTTTTAGTGAACTTATGGAAAAATAAAGTCCTGAAATATCCATCCTCGGGCACATCCGCAGACACACCCCACACACGGGCACACCACGTGCAGGACAGGTCTCTGCTGGGACAATCAGTTCTTTTCAGAGTTTCTGGCTGGGCCCACAGGAGATACTGACTGACTGTGGGCAGAGGGGAGCACAGCGCCAGAGTGGGGTGCACAGCGGGACACGGCAGTGGCGGCTTGCTCAGAGCTGGTCCTCTCAGAGCAGGCAGCAGAATCGCGGTGTTTGGCACTCAAGCTGCTCCCTTCACACAGGCCCAGAGCATAGCATGTGTGAGCATACACTCAAGTGAGGATGAGCTCCCAGACATCCTGCTTATTGTTGCTGCAGCCACCAGGCCTTCCCAGGAGAAGCCAAGACTGACCCTCCCACTCACTGGGGTTACTAAGCGAAAAGGGCATACGTACGCCCTGATGGTGGGAGGGAAGGCAGGCAGAGGAGGGCTGTGCCAGTTCCAAAGGGCTAGAGGGAGGGGTCAAGGGTTGAGCTGCCCGAATCTCAAAGACAGACCCTGGGAAGCTGTGGCTTTTGCATGTGTCAGTCTCAGTCTTTGTGGGTCCACTATAACTGGTGGACATACCCACAGATTGTGCATCCTGTGGGGCCCCAAGTCACCACCATGGTCACAAGGGGGCTGAGGTCTGACCTGTCTGCTCCAACCTATCCCAGAGTCACCAAGGACTTTCGTGCTTTTAAATGCAAAATCAGTCTAAAGAAAACCACAAAAATTGTAGTAAGGCTATCAGTGGCGTAACTATTGAGCCAACAAAGGCCAGGAAGGCCCCTGGCTCTCCCCATGCAGGAATGTGCGCACATTCCTGTGTAGGAGAGGCTGGGGCAGGAGTGCCCAGTGCCCGGAAACGGTGCTCTCATGAGGCACACGAGCCTCTTCTGACCTCGCTCGGAACCTTGTTCTGGCCTTGGCTCTGATGACTGGGCAGCCCTGGGTTGGGTCCCACTACCTCCCAGGGCAGTTCTAGGTCCTGCTCTAGGAAGCAGAGAACTCCTCATTAAACAGACATGACTCTGGTGCTGGGGTCTTGCTGGCATGAACTGGGAGGATGTCCTCGAAGGATAAGCTGGGCAGAGCAGGTAAGACTTGGGGAGAAGAGAGAACTCACTCTTTGCAATGGATTTGGGGTCTACCCAGAGGAGCTAAGGACAAAGCCCCTAGCTGGTCATGGGAGGAAGACACCCGTGCACGAGGCAGGAGATTATCTCTCCTTCCCAGCAGGAGAGCACCGAGGTGCATAACTCCACTCAAGGTGGCCTCATCCATGGGTCCTGACCCAGCGACCGCAGCTCTCATCTCCCCAGCCCTTCTCTGAGCTGCCCACCGAGGACAAAAGGAGGGGCGATGGGAGATTTCTGCTCCTGCATGGAACTCTGGCATAGTTTTGATGGGATCAGAGCACAAGGAACAGGCAAATGTAGACCACAGGACCCTGCCTGGCCTCCCCATGTGAGGGCAGGATGGAACACACTGTAGGAACCAGCCAACCTCACTGCTGCCCCACCAGCCCAGGGGGCTGGTCCCAGGTGTAGGGTGGGATGCAAATGCTGACAGCACTGGTCTTTAATGACATTTTAAGGGAATTTCAAACACCCTACAACGCAATCCATTATTTCAAAAGACTCAAAGAAAAGGGGCAGCCTTAACAGGGAGGGATGCTGAGAAGACCCCGTAATGTCCCACTCTCTCTGAGCAGGACCACTCACTATGGACAGAACCTGCCCCAGATGGAAGCTGGCAACAGAGGAAACTCCCAGAGGCCAGAGAGGGCCCAGCGAGCAGGGCAATTGCTACCTGGGGCTGGAGCCCGGGCAGGGTCACAAGATTAAACCTCAGAGTGTCTAGGAAAGAGGACCAGTGACAAGAAGCTCATGGGAAAAAGTACCACCCACTCAGAACATCTTCCACCTGTTCCAAGGCCCAAGGGTAAGGGACTGCAGTGCCACAGGACAAGAGCCTGGGTGCACAGGGAAACACCAGAGCTCCACAGAGGGAGGGAGAGCAAGAGGAGAGGGGCCTTCACTCAGATAGTCTCACGTCAGTCCCAGCCTGACATACACCAGCAAAAGCAGCGCTGAGGAAGGTAGAGGGGCAGTCAGGCTAGAATCGGGAGAATCTTTCCTGGCGAGGGCAGGAAAGGGTGCTGGAGGTGGCGGAGCAGCCGCACCAGGAGGCCATCCATGCCAACTGCAGCACAAGGAGCCCGAGCCACCATCTGCTCAGCCAGCAGGGGAGGGGCTGGGTGGACACCGCGAGGGACAGGGAGGTGGGGCCAGGGCAGGATGTACTCAGGGTGTCAACCCACACACACAGAGACGTCAGATGGAAGCACAGAGCACAGTCCCCCCAGAGGAATGGGCTGGAGCAAGAAGAAAAACTGCAGAGAGAGGACTGGGAAGGAAGCAGGGGGGAGGGGGCCCCTGGGGGCTCTAAGAACAACTCCACCCTCCCACCCACACACCGGAGACCAATCCAATTAGGATGGGGCACAGGCTGCTGCTGTGAGGGGTCCCGAGGACAACAGCCACAGTGAACCACATTTCCAGGAATCACAGGCCGCCCGATGCCCCATTACTGGCCCCAGGGGTCAGCAGCCCTGAGGACCAGGCAGGGCCTTTGTAATGAAAAGTTCCACTGCACCAGAGGCTTGTGTCAACCCAGCCCAGAGGTGGGGGAGCTTCACCTGCTCAAACTTCCAGCCATCAGACATGGTGGACACCATCTGTGTGAGTTCCTCTTCCTGACACTGAAGCACACGGTACACGTGCTTCACCGGCACCTGTGAGAACAACGGCCACAGGTGAGACAGGCCCCACACACGCCCTGCTGCTCCTGTGCCCCAGCCCAGCACCCTGTCCCACGTGCAGCTGACGTTTCCTTCCACCTCTCGGGCTCAGGTTGTGCTGCCCACAGCAACCCCAAACACATCCACCAAAGCAAAACAAACAGGTCGGAACAGCTGCCGTTTTCCACTTTCTCATCTGTCTCCCAAAATATTTCCATTTCTAAATCCCAAAATAAAATGAGTCATGTTCCTGAAACCCCAAGAGCACCTGTGGCCAGACATGAATGCGTGAGGATGTTCGTCTCTGTTCCACGGGGGAAGCATACAAAGCACCTGGATTAACCAGCCTCGGCCTTGCTCCTAGAAAAGCTTTTAGACATGCACACTAGCTCCGACAGTTGATGTATCTTTGCCGACCCACCCACCGCCCCTGTGCTGAGCCCTGTTCCAGGCAGTCTCTGGTGCTGGAGCCCTGCAGAGCACAGCCAGATAGCGGCTCCCCGCCCCCACCGCCCCCAGGAGCAGCCACTCCAGCAGGAGGCGGTGGCCACAACACACAACACATGAGTAACGGAGAACGAGACGAAGATATTCGCAGGGGAAGGAGCCTCTGGAGCTCCAGGCCAGTGACACTTGGAAAACAGGGTCACAGCTAAAGTATAGTGGCCGTTGTCACATACACAAGTGCTTTCGTCTGAGAGACTATGAATGATGTGGCTCCCCAGCCTCAGCCCGCTATCCTCACGTCAGCCCTGTGAGGAGGGTCTCTTCTACCTGCCCCATGCAGAGGGGAGACTGAGGCAGAGAGGGTCAGTGCCGGCCCAGGTCACACGGTGCAGAAGTGAGGCTGCTGGACGGAGGGGAAGAAGAGGCCAACTGGCTGGAGAAAACCAGGGAGCTTGTGGACACATCTCCTGATCCTCCCCAGTCTCCTCCCAACTGTCCTGGTGCCTGAGTGGCTCCCGCAGGAAGGAAAGGGCTGGGGGCTGCGTGGGCCAGTGGTCCTGGCCTCCCACACTATCACCGGGACATGCCCTTCCTCTAGCTTGTCCCCTGACCAGAGAGTGGCAAGGCCATCAGCAAGCCTCTTCACAAAGGCCAAGAGCTCCAGCCCAGGGTCTGCTGGGCACCCAGTGGGACAGTGGGGGAGGAGGCGCTGACCGAGACCCTCAAATAATAGTGGCAGCTCTGAGGGAACATCTACTTCCCAGCATCCTCTTGGAGGAGCTGAACTCACTGGGCAAGAACTTGCACTCAGCTAGCAAGTACAGAGCTGGCACAGTGACAAAAACTCATGCCTTAGACCCTCTGGCGCCTCCCTTTATGGAAAGTGCCAGATGCAGCCCACTTCAAACAAAGTGGCCTAATGGGCAGCAGAGTGGCCGTGCCTACTCCATCACCACTGACCATGGCCAAGTGCAAATGGGCCCCGTGGTGGCAATCTGTACGCTGGAAGGAAGAGCACCGATCACGCCCCTCTTTCCTCCTCACACCCCCACAGCCCTGCAGGACCCCACCTCCAAGCTCACTGCCCACTCCCCTCCCTGCTCTCCCTCCAGCCACACTGGCCCTCTGCACTTGCTGTGCCCAGCCTGCAATGCCCCCCAGGGTATCCACACACTCGCTCCCCATCAGAGGCCTCCCTGCTCTCCCTCCACCCCCTCACCCCACTGGACTTCCTTTCCTCCTCAGGTCCCTTCCCACCGGAGTGGGGCTCCCTAGGGATAGGCCAAGCAGAGCTGAGTGATGTGCCCTGTGTGACCCTGGTGCCAGCTGGCAGCACCACAGGAGGTGACAAGAGGGCGGGCCATCGGGTACTAGGACAATTAAAGAGGAAGACGGTAGTCAAGATGGGGACAGCCCCAATCCCAAGGCCTCACACAGAGCTGCCACGGTCAGCAGGGAGGGAGGGGGTGAGCTACGCCTGCACACCAGGCCTTGGAAGCTTCTGGTACATCAGTCACTGGTCTCACCTGTGAGGTTCTGCTGTCTCGTTCTCTAATTTTGTCCTTTACAAGTTTTATTAGTGAGGTGATATTGTAAAATTCTGCTTCTTCCAACACTCCTGGAACAGAGAAAAATAACTAATTTTCACCAGATGAGACCAAACCAAAGAAGAAACGTTTCACCCCTGCCTCACTCTAAACCCGAGGGCTATGCCTGGCCCGAGCCCGGCCCAGTGGAAGCTCCTCAGGCCCCATCCTAACATCGCAAACAGACTTCACACAGATGCGCTGGCTCTTAGGAGGGCTCCCAGGATTAGGGGCAGAGGGCACATTTACAGAACACACTCCTGGCACACATCACTCAGGTGACCGCTGGGTGCAGAGTTCAAGCACAGAACAGCTGGTTCAAGTGCAGCTCCACGCTGGGCATGCCAGTATGTAACTCAGGCATCTTCCCTCCACAGCCTCTGGCCATCTGCCCAGGGCTGGCCGACTCTCCTGCTGTTGCAGTGAGCAGGGCCAGGCGGCCTCATGCAGGTCTCTGAGTCACTCGGCACCTCAGTTTCCCTATTTAATCAGAAGACTGGTTCAGTGTCTTTCGTGGCTGGTTGAGAGGGTGGCTCCTAGCTCCAGGATGCTTGTCAATTTAGAAATTCCCTTCTATCCAAAGACTGCCATTTATAATGTACTATATTTAAGGACTCTAAACCTCCAAGAAATTCTAAAGAACAAATTGGAAGGGCTCTGCATCATGGATTGCTTGTGAGTATTCCAGAAGGTTCAGAGTGTGCCTCCCGTTGCCACCTCTCGTCGTTCTGGTCAGAGCCCACCCCACACACCATCAGCACCAGGAGCTCAGAGCCCTGGACTGGCCATCAGACCCGCTCAGGCTGCCTCCTAACAAGGTCCCCGGGACACTTGGGCAGAGGGTGGGGACGGGCATGGGTGGCAGCCTCCCAGGCAGACGTCTTTCTTCAGGGCCACCCAAAGGGAGGCTGCACCTGGAATGTCACTTCCCAGGATGACACTCAGTCACATCCTGTCAACCCCTCCTCAGATGTGTGGGTGGGGACTGAGGAGCATTGTGAATAAGCACCAGAAGCTTTGGGACACGCACTTGGGTCCGAAGGCGCACTTTCTTCTACCTGGATGTTCCATGCTGTACTCTGAGGGGCAGGACCAGGAGTGGAGTCCAAGTGGGTGTTTCTCCTGGAAGCGCTGCGTCGGGGGCAGGCAGCAAGGCAGGGGAGTGAGGCCAGGCTGCAGGGGCTCGGGCTGTGTCAAGTATCCCTTTCTAAGAAAACCACATCGGGAACAGGCTATGAAATGAAGTTCAGCCTAGAGTCGTACAGCTGCACACCCAAAATACAAAGGAGCTTCCCCAGATGACCCAAGTATGCACAGGAAAGAAGGTTCCTGTGAAGGGGACACAGACACTGGGGTCCAGAGGCTAGAAAAGAAGAGCTGAAGGATGAGCACAGTCCATTCAGGCGGTCGTCACAGGAACCCGATTGAAGCCAGAGGTGCCAAGTCCACCAGGAGCGAATGCATCTTGAGCCTCTCAGGACCTGTCGGATACTTCGAGCCAAGCCAATACCAGAACATGCAGCCACACCAGCCTCTGGCTGACGGCCCAGGGCTGTGCCTGGTGTCCCTGCTCGCTGTGACCAGTGTCAGAACGAAGCACGGTGTTTGAAAACACAGACAGAAGTTGGAGTGATGGCACAGTGGTGCCCTGGAAGGAGAGCAGACCCAGGCTGACCAAGGCTCTGAGGGACACTTGGCAGACTCGCACGGTGGGTATGTCCGTACCACAGGGGCCCTCAGACTGCCCAGCCAAAGCAACTGAGAATGGGTGGTCTCCCAAGGAAGGAGCCCCCGCCCTCACAGCACCACTGACTAGACACTTGAAGGAGGGTGCCCATGGAGCGGCCCACAGCCGGCGGGCCCCCAGGCCAGGGAATGTGCTTGAAGTCCTCAGGCCCTTCCGCTATCGCGGTCCTGACCTGCTCCGAGTCTGCTTCCTGGAGGAGGAGGCGGCGTCTGCTGCCTCGTGGGACATGTTTGTGAGGAGGCTGGGGAGCAAGTGAGAGACTTGGCACCCAGGACTTCTGCTGCCAGCCTCTGGACCCCAGCCTGGCCAGCGCCCAGCCTGCAGGGCCTGCTCCTTGCAGGGCACCTGGGGCCCTGCCCCCAACTCACCTTCCTCCGCGAGGTCTTTGTTAATGACCAGCTTTCCATGTCTCAGGTAGTTCAGCACAGGCCCAAAGTAGGTGGGGTCTCTGTCGATTAAATAGGCACCTGTTTCATCCTACAAAGAACCAAACAGCAGTGTGAGTCCTGGACGAGGAAACAGGGCTCCACAGCTAAGCCAGAGCAAGGCCGCATGCAAAGGGCTCTACAGGCATGTGGGCCATGCCTGTAACCACAACCGGATCCACTGACAACACAGCAGGGAGCCCCGAGCGAGGCTCCATGCCCCTGCCACCTGCAGCCTCTACCCTGACCTGCCACCATCTCAGGTCTAAGCCCAGGGTCAGCTGTTTCTCTCATGGTGAGCTCCCTTTATCTACTGAGGCAACTGGATCTGTAGGGACGTCTTTCCTCCAGCTCCAAAATGTCTGAGAAGTTCACCCTTTTCTCATTTTAGAAACCATCCCATGAGAGTGACCTAACACAGATTCTTCTGCATGGAATACTTCCTAAGGCTGGCTAATGCTGACGGTTTGACCTCTGAAGGACCCAAGACATGGGCCTCTGCAGCCAGGGCCTGCCCTTTGTTACTTCAGTGCTCGCTCCTCCCTGGGCAGATGCGCAGGACTGGGGGATGAGGGATGACCACCCAGGTCAGAGGCACGTGGAATGGAGCCTCATTTTCCACTGCAAGGTGCCCCCAGAGCTTCCCAGTGGTTGCTGACCACCAAGGAAGCCTCACCCTGTGGGCGGCAGTTCCCAGAGACCCAAAAGTTTACAAACAGACCATCGGAAGTGCTCCCCCGGACCTGGGTTGGCCCCGGTTCCTACCACAGGGATCGGGGGCCTTTCTGAGGGTTAGGGACCCTCACCACCCACTGGCAAATCTTCACAGTTGGCTCAAACCATAGCCGTCTCAATGGCCATCGCAGCCACGGCCAGGGAAGGTAGACACGCCCACCCAGGCACTGGGGTGGAGGCAGTCTCCACACAACGACACCACTACAGTGGAGCCCTGTAGAGGTCTGCACAGAGTTATGGGTGTCGGGGCTGTGACAGTGAGGATGAAAGCCTCAGAGATCTAGCTGGCAGCACCTGTGTCCTGGGATCCCCCGGAGGCAGCTGATCCAACTGCTGTCAGGACACTGCGTCCGTGTCGGCCACATATCTGATATGGGTCTGCTGAATACGACCCACCCAGGTCTCCCTCCAGTGGGGCTGGTCCCTGGACCAATGGCGCCAGGGAGGGCAGCAGGTGCCGAGGCTGTCTGCTCTAAAAGAAGGTGACTCCGTAGGTCATCTGGAGAGTTGACATGCCTCCCCGTCCAGAAGGAGGGCCTTGGCAGGCACGGCTGTGGCAAACACGGGAGCAGCTGGCCGGCTGAGGCCCCAAGAGGACAGTGTTAGGCATCTTTGCAGGGGGAGGCGGTGCGGTAGACACACCTGACCCTCTCCAATGTGGCATGCCCATGGGACACAGGGAGGCAGGAGGCGCCTTGGCCACGCAGCCATTGGCCATGTTAGAACTCTATTATTCATTCATGAGCATCAAATTCTGGAATTTGTATGGTAAAACCTGGTGGTTTCAAGGGCTTCTCTCCTAAGTCCACCACCAAAAAGCTATAAAAATCTGCTTCTCTTAGATCAAAGCAATTAGGGCTCTGGATGTGAGGGCCCTGGGACTGGGAGCCTCATTGGTCACAGGGCAGGCCCCGGGCATTGAGCCCAGCCTCCTGCACTGACAGGCCACCGCCAGCTCCCTCCTCGGGCTTCCTGTCTCCCAGAGCAGCATCCCAACCACACATTGCCCCCCACCTCACCCTCGTGTCCCACCCCACCCATCTACGGCAGCACTGGTCAGACACCATCCCACGGGCACTGCCTCCAGCCTGGCTCCCCAGCCTTTCCTCCTGACCCTACTGTTCTCCAAGCAAGGCCAAACGACCTTGCAGAACAGCTTCCAGAAGAATGATGCTTTGGCAGTCTGCCTGCTGGTGAAAAGGGCCACCATACCAAGGGGCCGAGGTCTGGAAAGAAAAGGATGGAGCTGCCACAACAAAAAATCAAGGGGCTCCCCACTGCCCACATATGAACAGAGCCAAACACATGACATTTGCACATCACCAAGCTCAGAATTATTCATCGGCTCCCTGCTATCTTGACAGACAGCTGGCAGAAGGTCAAGAAGGAAAGATAAGATGAGGACAGGCTCATCTCCACCCTCAGGACACCCCAGAGAGTTCCCTCATCACACTGGGCAGAGGCCTCAGTTGGGTCAGACCACACCTCCGTGGGCTCAAGGCCACACCTCTGACAAGCTGACAACTCAGCACTGGAAGCCGGTGGAGGAGGAAAAACAAGTTTATTGAGTGCCAACAGTATACTGAGCAGCACAATACACAAAGGTGACCCAGGCCTCCAAAGCCTGGAGGATACGAGGGACTGGGACAGAAAAGGAGGGAAGGGCAGGTGAGCTGACGAAAACGGCAGCGGCCAGCACGCTGGGGACCAGGGGAAGGGGCAGCCACCCAGGCGCAGAGGGAACGCAGACAGGGAGCCTGGACAGGACACTGGAGAGCTGCACTGGAGCTGGACCCTGAAACATCCCTTGGCTGATGTGCTGAAGGAACGTCACCCTGGGTCTGGGCTCTCGGCTCAGAGTACACTGCACACAGGGCACTCCAGACACCGCCTGTGGGCTTCCCAAGGCCGGTTCAAGGCCCCTTCTTGGGGTACCTGAAGAGAGACCCTGCCAGCAGCGAAGACCTCGAACCCCAGGGGTGGGGCATCACTCTCCATCCCCATCCAGGAGAGACTGGAGACCCAGTGCCGAGGCTGGCAAGGGCACAAAACATCAGCTCAGGAGCAGCGGGCCACTGCTAGCCTTCCCATCACACTTGGCAGCCTCTGGTTCCCACTCATACCCAGTGCTCCAAGGCAAGCAGCCTGTTTGCCCAATTATCCAGCCGTCAAAGGGAGAGGCAGGCCTGTCCCTACACGGGGGTCCCCACAGTCATCCAATTAAGGAGCAGCTTTAAAGCAGCAGCCTCTCAGAGACCTCTAGAATAATGAGGCCAAGAGTTCAAGGCATTTGCTGCTAACCTGGCTGGGAGGCAAGGCGAGGGAAGAGCAAAGAGAACCCTGCTCACATCTCAAGGTGCGGAACCTCAGGCTCAGCATCCACCAACACAGGCTCCCACTGCAGTGTGTGGGCCCTGGTGCTGACCCTGAGGCCAAGTGAGGCGGTGGCCCACAGAGAAGCAGGCAGCACAACGACACAACAGCCAGCAGATAGCTGGCGCCTCAGAAATGGGAGTACAGAGCTGCAACGACAGGGGGAGCACGGAAGCCAAGCCATCTAGGCCCGGGCTCACACTCAGCTACTCAGAGGCCATCCTCTGCCTGTGACGAGCCAGCCTGTGCAGCCGATGAGCAGCGCTGAAGGAAGCTGGGGAGCGGCCTGCTCCACCGAGGCACAGCAGGGCTCTCTGGCCTGGTTTCCTCTTGCGGATTCGTTTTGACGGGATGGTTTCAGCAGGAAGCAAGGCCGAGAGACTCTGGGGTTAGGACAGGCCAGGCAGCAGTGCAGGGGGGTGGTACTCTCAGCACTGGGCTCCTCAGCAGGGAGACGTCAACTTCTACAAGTGCTGGGGGCCCTACACCAAAACCCCCAAATTCCACTGGGTTTTATCTTGGGCTACAGCCCAGACGACCACAGACTGACTCCCGTTTAGATGCACACAGGCAAGAGCTCTGTAAAAACCATGTCTCCGAGCACCTGCGCGTGAGCAGCGGGCTCCAGAGGCGTGGAGCATCGGTGAGGCTTGGCAGTGGGCAGGCACCCTCAGACATCGCTGCTGGACAAGCTGACCAGAGGGCGGCTGACACTAGTGCAGGGGCCTCAACATGTCACGTGCTTGTGTTGGTAATGGCCCTAGGGCCGACATCCTAAGGCAGAGATAAAGAAAAATATAGAACACAGAAAACACACAAAAAAACCCCAAATGCGGAAGTCTTATGCTCACTTATGCAAAAGCAGAGAGGACCATCTCAGTGGTATCTACACTAGCAAGTGGGGGAACGAGCGAGGCACAGCTGCTGGCACGCTGCGCTCACCTCCTCCCTCAGTCCATCAGGCTGCAAGAGCAGGAGGGAGAGCCTTGGGATGGAGATTCAGTGCGCCGGCTTCTAAAAGGCAGCAGGGACCAGACAAGACATTCACCCCGGCGGGATGGCAACACACGCGGGTCTCTCTTCCTCCTCCCTCCCTCTGTCCTTTGCTCAATTTATATAATAAGTGTGTGCTCCACTTACAGAGTGCTGAGGTTTGAGGCTTTTTATTTTTGTAAAAGAGCCAGAATTAAGACTGCTTTCTCAACAAATCTAGTGACCTCCCCCAACTTCTCAATGAATTAGTGTTTGACCTACTAGTGAAGTGCTGGCTTTAAAAATATACACCTATCCTAAGGGCATAAAAAAGGGAAAGGCTGGACTAGGCTCTTGAATGTTTAATGGACATGCAGGTCCACACACTACAGAGGTGGGGGAACAGGTGGAGTATGTGTGGGGAGGGACGGCTTGCTGACGCCCAGGTTGGCTGAATCCCACTCCAACTGGGCCCAACGTCTGAGGCCAGAGCTGCTGGTTTCCAGGGGCAGTTTGAACCCTGCATCCCTGAGCCTGAGCTGCGGGGCCATCAATCCTGGGCGGGTGGCCACAGAGCTGATGCCCTGACCACAGCCAGGAGCAGCATGCCCACAGCCATTTCTCTGAGAGGAGCCAGTGGGCAAAGGCAGGGCCCAGCCCACATCACATGCTCTCCCAGGAGATCCCTGACCTGCAGTCCCGAAAAGGAGGGAAGCAGAGAACACAATCCTGATTTGAAACCACCAAGCAAGCTCCACCCCATTGACTTCTTTCAGAGCCGCCCAGCATCCTCGGCCCATGCTGCTGGTACGGAAGCAATGCTCTGAGAGGTAATGCAGCAGTAAACAGCCCGAGACCAGGGCTCCCTGCCCACGCTGTGCACAGAAGTAAAACCCTGCCCTCACACCAAAGAGGAATCAAATCTGCTGTCCAGAGAGCCTCGTGGGTAAAGTGGGGGCCACGTGTCCCTAA